AAAAAACATCACTTGCAGGTCGGTGATGAAGCATGCACTTTTTATCAAGAGTCAAAGCAAAGGACAGAGTGTATTTCTGAGCACAAGGGCAAGAATCAGAGGGTCCCCTAGAAGGATGCCATGCCTGCAGAGTTGCTTTCTAATGGGCAAGTTCAGAGCAAACCCAGAGAGCAGTACTTGTGCCAGGTCTGACTTAGGGAGGGACAAAGCCTCCCTAAGGCAGAGTCCTCTCTAGGACATGGTTCTCAAAAGGGGTCCCAATGAAGCAATATTACCATCGTCTCAGAGCTTATAAGGAATGTAAATTGTTGGGTCCCACACCAATCCTATTGCATTAGAAACTCATGGGGGGTGGGCCCAGCATTCTGTGTCTGCAAGCCCTGTAGGTGACTCGGATACATACTAACACTGGAGAACCACTGATTTGGGAAAAACCTGGCCCTGAGCCAGAGCACACTAACTCAAAAGCAGGTTTCTTCTACCAAGAAAGAAGACCATTTAAAAAACTCTGCACCTATTGAGAGGATCATATGGTTCTTGTCCTTTCTTTTATTGATGTGATGAATCATGTTAATTGTTTTGTGGATATTGAAACAGCCCTGCATCCCAGGTATAAATCCCACTTGGTCATGGTGAATAATTTTTTTAGTGTATTGTTGTATCTGGTTGGCTAATATCTTGTTGAGGATTTTTGCATCCATGTTCATCAGGGAAATTGGTCTATAGTTCTCCTTTTTAGTGGGGTCTCTGTCTGGTTTTGGAATCAGGGTAATGCTGGCTTCATAGAAAGAGTTTGGAAGTTTTCCTTCCATTTCTATTTTTTGGAACAGCTTCAAGAGAATAGGTGTTAACTCCTCCTTAAATGTTTGGTAGAATTCCCCTGGAAAGCCATCTGGCCCTGGACTCTTGTTTTTTTGGGAGATTTTTAATTATTAATTCTATTTCCTTACTAGTTATGGGTCTGTTCAAATTTTCTATTTCTTCCTGTTTCAGTTTTGGTAGTGTATTTGTTTCTAGGAATTTGTCCATTTCTTCCCTATTGCCCATTTTATTGGCATATAATTGCTGATAATATTCTCTTATTATTGTTTTTATTTCTGTGTTGGTTGTGATCTCTCTTCTTTCATTCTTATTTATTTGGGTCCTTTTTCTTTTTGATCAAACTGGCTAGTGGTATATGTATACAATGGAGTATTACTCGGCAATCAAAAAGAATGAAATCTTGCCATTTGCAACTATGTGGATGGAACTGGAGGGTATTATGCTAAGTGAAATTAGTCAGAGAAAGACAAAAATCATATGACTTCACTCATATGAGAACTTTAGCGACAAAACAGATGAACATAAGGGAAGGGAAACAAATATACAAACAGGGAGGGGGACAAAACAGAAGAGACTCATAAATATGGAGAACAAACTGAGGGTTACTGGAGGGGTTGTGGCAGGTGGGGTGGGCTAAATGGGTAAGGGGCACTAAGGAATCTACTCCTGAAATCATTGTTGCACTATATGCTAACTAATTTGGATGTAAATTTTAAAAAATAAAAAATAAAATTAAAAAAAATTCAAGACTTAGAAAACAAGTTAAAATGTAATTCCCACAGAGCCACGTGACAGAACTCTATACTACTGACTCCAGGGAATAGGCTTTCCAGGAAAGCTAAGCACTCCAGAGGGATTTAGGAGGTGGTGGCCCAGCTCTTCTAGCTTGGGGATGGTCTGCAGGAGGGCACAGCCTCTTCTTGAGCAAAAAATTTTAAATCATTCCTTTCAGTTTATAGTCTTTTGGCCAGCAGTTCTCTTTAAAGTTTTATTTTGGTTACTTCACTGGGAACAATGTTAACTCTAACTTGTTCACCTGGAACACCTGTCCTACTCTGGTCTTTCCTGCTCATCTTCTTGAAAAAAAAGAAAAAACCTAGGAAAGAAGTTATTAGCTTTTGAACTGAACTAAAGTGAGTTTGGACAGAAGGAGGACATGCCCTCAGGAATATGGTGACCAACCAATAAAGGCTGTGAATGCTTAGTTTCAAAATTAGATTAAATTCCCATATCTATTTGTTCTTCTATAGTCTAGAATGTCATCTCCTTGGTTGGAGTGTGTCTTTTCTGGGACCACCAGCAATAGCACTCTTGCCTCTAGCTCACTACCACGGGTCATGAGCAGAGCTGGATAGCTGCATAGTCAAGACTTCAGCTGTGGCACAGAGTAGCACATCTCCTGTTCACAGTAGTCACGTGATGTGTATGTACACACCCTTGGAAAGCAATGGGAGATCATCAGAGGGACCTTTTTCAAAATGGCATGTTGGATACTGGTGTGGCTAGAGCCTGGTTGAACTCTGTAACTCAGAGCTCTAAGCTCTGTCAATATGCTTTGAGCCCTATCTGGGTCATCCTGACAAACAAGACCTCTCCAAATGAGTGCCTGACAATTTCTATCAAATGCTGTTTTAAAATAAGAATCATAGTTTATGAGTAATTATAATTTTTCCATTTACTCCAATCTCTCAGACTTAACTGTTAGAATGCTCACAGTTACTGACATAATTCATTGCCTTGTTCATTTCTCATATATATGTCCATGTGCCAAGAAGTTGCAACTTCTTGTAACTTGGTCACACCAGCACTGTAAGGATGGAGGGACTGCTGCAGCCCAGGTACAACACTCCTACAGGCGACAGATGGATCAGCCGCAGGTGGACGGGTGGTCAGGAAGTCAAGGGAGTTCTGGCTACATGGTTTCCCAAGATAGGGCAACTGCATGTAAAACATTCCTGTACCACTTTTACTGTTGCTCCAGCAGAACCTGCAGGCCAGCGCTGTCACCAGGCCTGAGAATGGCAAATCCACTCTGATGAGATCGTGGAGTGCATTAAGAGGTCTGTCAGTCAGTTGTTAGCTCACAACCCTGGGAGTGCCCATCTGCAAAAAAAATCTTTCCTCAGGGAGAAGAAGGGTAGAGAGGGAGCCAGATTATGCACAAAGGACTGCTTCCTGCCTGTGAACCAATCCTTACTTTCAGTTTTGGCACTTAGTGCTCAAAGGCAGACAACCCAGGAAGCAGCATACTCACAGGCCTGGCCTGGACCTCCCAGGATGGCCCAGTGTCTGAGCCCTGTCGGGCTCAGCCCTGTGGAGCCCTGTGGAGACAAATCCTATGATGGTCCCTTAGCTGCCTAGGGGAGGGAAAACTCCCTTAACCTCAGCTTCCTTCACCAATGCCTGATGCAGCTGATTTCCCAAGACATGTCTAACATACCCAGGTCCTTTACAAACCTGTGTGTTGATGATGCAAAGAGATGCAGGGTGCTCTACAAAAAGATTTCTTTCCATAGATGAGGGTTGGACAACATAATTCTTAAAATCAAACTTTGCTTAAGAATTTTTTCACTAAATTTTGTTTCTTTTTAGTCTCTGTTCACTTCACTTGGTTTTAATTCTCTGACTGTGAAGGCTAAGAGGAAGGAAATGTCCAAATGTACAAATCTTAAGTTCTTAAAAGAAAGGAAGGACTTTAAATATATCTCTTAGAATATATGACTCCACTTCATGAGCCTGGATATCTAACTAAAAAAAATCACCAGATCAATTTTGGTAACCATCTATTCTTTCTTCTATGACATTTTGTCAAGAACCCAGGACTATGCCTGGGCTCTTCTTGTCCTGATAACCAGGGCTGTGGAATGGTGTCAGGACACTGTGAAGGACATCGTTCTCCAACAGTCAGATGTGGGCCCTTCATAAGCATGAAGTCTCCCAAGCATTTAAAGATAAACATGGAATTGATCGAGTGGCCTAGGATCCCACACAGATCCTTCTGTGTGCAGAGCAGGAGATGAGGGCTGTTCACAGCAGCTTGTTCTGCATTCACAGTGTCTACGAGTGGGGGAAGCAGATAACAGAAAACAAGTCCAGGCATAGTGTGGGAAGTTGTAAGGCAGCTGGAATCTATCACATGGGCCTTCTCTGTGCTCAGACTATACTCTGCTTTGGGTTTGTGTTGACAAATATTTCCAACAAGCGGATTTAGAACACCATGAAGAAGTCCAAATAGGTGATATTTAGAGTGGTGACAATCAGTTCAGTCTGGCCTGCCCTGGATCTTTCAAACAGAAGCAAATAAGCTTTTACCAGATCATTAAAACTCCATGGAAAGGGTAGGCCCATTACTCCTGTAATACATTCAGAAAACCAGCTATTTGCCTGTTCAGATTCCCTTGTCTTTGTTCACATCTTCTCTGCTTATCAGACCACCTGCCCTCTATATGAGTCACTCCTGTCCTTCCCTCACACCCTAAGGCCCTCGTGGCTCTGATGGCCTGTTTTGATCCACTTTGGATGCTTTGCCTGTATCTGCCTGACTAGGAAATGTGAACCTGGGATTGAACTGCTAGAACCACACGTGAGGGTTGATGCATTTCCACCTTCTGCACTAGCTCTCCATTGGGCATTAGATGGGAACAGTGAGCCAATTCCTGAGAAACTGTCTAGGTAGTACTATTCCTAGTGCCTAACTTATACCATTTGCCCCATTTGTTTTCTGATATATTAAAATATATCTGGTTTTCCTACATGAATTGGATTCATCAATACTACAGGCACATATTTTGGTATATTTTTCCCCTTAAAGAGGAAGTTCTTGTGAGTCAATTTTCTAGGAAATGTAATGGAAGAAAAAAAAGTAAAAGGCATCCCCCTAAGAAGAGTTCCATGTCAGTTCCTACCACCCAGTCTCTACAGAAGACAACAAAGCCCATCTTCTGGGTTGTCATGTTGCAGATGTCACGTTGGTGAATATGATGTGGAGGCTTCTTGAAAAAATGCCAACAAGGAGCCACTGACTCCAGATTGTAGTCAGCAACCTGGCTTGGGATACAGAGGCTTTTAATGGCTGCATGGCTCCTCCACAGCACAGTTTACCATCTGCTCATGAGAAAAGCACTGGACTCCATCCTTCTAACCCTTCTCCCAACCCAGTCCCAAGAAGTGCAGCCTACCTGGCATGATGACATCAGGAAATCCCAATTTTCTTGTAATTGCCAATCCCCTATTAAATATCATGGGGTTTTCCCTCCTAATCTGTTCCATATCTCCACGGAGAAGCTGCAGAGAGATGATAAGACCTGCAAAAACATAAGCATTTTCTTACTCAGAACCACATTTCCACCCTGTTTTGTAGTACTAGAAATGACATAAAGAGTCACATTTTTTTTCAGGAGGAAAATATACAAAGTTTAGCATTTTTCTTGAGAAAAATTTTGATGTAGAAAGTATATACTATTCTGAAGAAACATTCTAGAAAGCTATTTAAGAAAAGATAACCTCAACAACCCAGAGAACTAGTTTATTATATACAGACCGAGGTCTGGGAGACTGAGTTGCCTTTTTCTCTGTTCCTCAGCATCTAGCCCAGGGCCTGGCTGGACCCTAGCAAACACTCACTGAATGGGAGGGTTGAACTACATAAACCATACATTTAGGAACCCAGAGAAATCTACAGAAACAATGGCAGACTAGAAACAAAGAAGACCCTGTGCCAGGATGTCCCCCCAGCTGAAAATGAATGAGCTAAGAGGTGCTGTTTTATGCTAGGAGTATGCTAAAATGTGGGAAGCAACTTGCTGGTTCAACCTTGCAACGGCTTGTAAAGACAGCAGCAGAGCAGACAACACGTTCCCTTCAGGGAACCACTGCACTTCAAGGAAAAGGGATGTTTTGTGCGGCTAACTGAGCTTTGCTTCAGACTATAAGCTTCAGATCTTCCAGATGATCCCAAAAGCTTTGTTCAGAACATGGGAGAACCTGTGTCCCCAGGTGAGCTGGCTTCCACTTCATTACTTGTATGTACCCTAGGAGTTTTGCACAAAGTAAGAATCTCCTGGAAACCATCCTCTCCCCTGCCCCCGAGGGTTACTACTGTAGCCACTGGCTAGAAGGCTGGGAGGTCAAGCCCAGATAGAGTTAGGAAGTGATTCTGAGACTCTGTGAATGAGATTAGCTGCTAATAGGATGATGAAGATGCTGATCTATGTGTCAGCAGGAAGCAAACCCATCAATCTAAAAACCTGGGAATTATGATAGTTAGGATTACCAGAAAAGTAGTGGCTAGAATGGAGACAGTGACAAGAGTTGTAGGATAAGAATGGTTTGGAAATGGAGAGGAGAGAGGGAATGGAGAAGTGGAGAAAGAGAGATGTCACACAGAACAGTCACAGGCACTCTATCTGTCAGATCAAAGTATCCTAGTAACAAGGAACATGTACTCTCATAGCTGGGCTGGGGGGTCATCAGGGTTCCACTGCAACTCAGAAAGAACCTCAAGATGATCTTATTGCTTTTGCCAAATTCATGTACCCCAAGAACCCTGAGATTGCACATATGATGTCCCAGGTATCATTAACAATGAGATCACAGTGCTCTGGAAAGCAGATATATGGTATTCCAGTTGTTAGTCTGGTTAATGTTTAGGTTTTGAACACCCTATTTTTTTTTATAGCCTAATTACTTGGTGGACTCAACTACAAATAACTTATGAGCCTGAAAGGCTGGAGGTCAGAATCCAGATCACAATAAACTCTTCAGAAGAGAGCAGCTTGTGAGGTACTCACAACCCCTCCCCCACAGCCCCAGCACATTTATCTGTGGTATCTTTACACGGCTATCAGATATTATCCTCTGGGCGAACAGGGGTCCACCATCCTAGGAGACAGCCTAAACTGGAGCAGATAGCTAAGGATCAGACAATTCCCAGAATCTGAGATGATAGAGGGCAAAGGAAAAGAAAATCAATGGGTTCATCCTTCTCACTTGGCACTGGCAAGGATTATTCATTCAAGTGCCCACTGACTATCTTTCTTACCTTTTATCTCATTTTCTGAGCAACCAAATTGGCCTAGAGATGCAAAGTGCAACTTGTGAGGATGCAGACTGAAGACACTGGGAGAGGTGCATCTAGCTTTTGAGCTATCCAAAAGGAATTCTGAATAGCTGCTCTGAAGTGTGACAAGCAAGAGGAAAAGGGCTTCAGTTTATGCAAGAGAACACATGAAAAGGCACATGAAGGATGAAAGAAGTCACCAATGGAGGCTATAAAACTTGATCTGCTTTTGTAGAAATTGGGATCCTGGAATATGTGAGTCCTCTTCCTGGTTCTGAAGCCCTGAGTGATTGAGGCGCATGCCAAATAATGCTAACCATGGTCCTCAGGACAAAAGAGCCTCTGTAAATAACTCAGAAAAGTGACCCACTCGCCTACCCAATATGCAACCAGTCCTTTAGCAACACTTGCTCATCTACCTACCAATCACCTGGCTCTCAAGCCAAAGAACTTGAAAGTAACTAATTTATTACAATTTCTCTGTTAAAATGATCTCTGACACAAGAAAACTGTTTTCTTACTAAATTTCATCTCAGATTAAGACTGTCCCATAAAAATATCCCACACATTTGTGTGGAATACTGGAAGGTCAGCAACCTGGCCCTTGTCCCTCTCAACCCCCATCTCTGTGAAAAGATGAGTGAAGATTAATAATGTAAATTAATCCCAGCCCAAGAAACATAAAGAAAGCTGTATAAGTCATTAAAAAATACATAGAAAATTAATTTCTCAACTGTTTTGTTTTCACTTGTTTTTAATGATCTTCATGCTACTGGAATTACTAAAAGTTACTTCTGTGGCTACATATCTAAGAGGCCAATCTAAGGGAGTTAGTGATGAATGATAGTTTTAGTCTCAGCACCTAAAACTAATGTAGTAATTCCTTCTGAATTTTGTATGATTTAACTTGAAGGGAGAGCACTACTGAGTTCTGAAACAGAACTGCCAAGGCAATTAACTGTCCACAATGTTTAACAAAGATGGGTGACAGTTTATAGCAAAGTTAATTTTTTATAATGACGTGTCTTTAATTAAGGAGGCTAATAAAGACCTGAACTATTTCTTGAGTAATCTATGAAATTTTTTGACATGAAGACCCTAAAATCCTGTAGTAGAAAACCCATGCTGAGAAGCTTGGCAACAGAGTAGAAAGCCAGTGGCCTGGAGTATGGAAACCAGGGCTCCCTGCTTTAGCCATGAAGTCACTTCATTGGGCTTCAGTTTCCTCATTTATTTAATGAAGGAGTTGAAACAGGTAATTTCCAAGATCTCAACAGCTTCCAAGTCAAGCCTTACCTAGAAGCCATCAGACATACACTTCAAAGAGAAGCAGCCTATTTCTCCTCCTGGATTTTCCACAAGTACATGGAGACCTCTAACTGGGACACCCTAACTAAGGCTATATGAAGTCTGGGGTGCCTTTCTAACACTGTTTGAATGGCCAGTGTTTGTGAGTTCCAGACAAAAACCACAGACACTGAAGATGGCACCATCCCTGCTCACTCTAGGGAATGAGACACAATTCAGCATCTTAATCTGGTGAGGTAATGGGGGAAACTACTCTTTCAGCTGTTTTTTAAAAATTTTTATTTATTTAAAAAAATTTTTTTTAACGTTTATTTATTTTTGAGACAGGGAGAGACAGAGCATGAATGGGGGAGGGTCAGAGAGAGGGAGACACAGAATCTGAAACAGGCTCCAGGCTCTGAGCTGTCAGCACAGAGCCCGACGCAGGGCTCGAACTCACGGACTGCAAGATCATGACCTGAGCTGAAGTTGGCCGCTTAACCGACTGAGCCACCCAGGCGCCCCTCTTTCAGCTGTTTTAAAAAGTGTATTATTACTACCATCTTTCTTCTAAAATGTTCTCCATGTTTTTTTTTAAAAAAGTTTTTAATGTTTATTTGAGAGAGAGAGAGAGAGAGAGAGAAGTGGGGAGGGGCAGAGAGAGAGGCACACAGATCTGAAGTAGGCTCCAGGCTCTGAGCTGTCAGCAGAGAACCCAATGCAGGGCTTGAACCCATGAACTGGGGGATCATGACCTGAGCCTAAGTCAGACACTTAACTGACTGAGCCACCCAGGTTCCCCAAAATGTTCTCAAGTTTTAATCATATCATGTCCCAAGAACTTGTATCCAAAGGTAACTCTTTACAAATCAAGTACAGTAAATAAAGCAAAGAACACCACAAACATGGATATGAATGGGAGTTTTCCAAATTACCAGTAACTTTTTTTTTTCTTTTATAATTAAAAACTGTGAGCAGGGAAGAGGGGCAGAGGGGGAGAGAATCTTAAGCTGGCTCCATGCTAAGCAGAGCCTGATGTGGGGCACGATCCCATGACCCTGGGATCATGACCTGAGCTGAAATCAAGAGTAGGACATTCAACCTACTGAGCCACCCAGCCACAGCACCAGTAACTTTTTTATATTTTAAAAACAAGATTTTACTTGCCTCCTGCTTTAGCCTAGTTTTAGGTGAGAAATATGGACTCCCTTCCCTTTCAAGCACTGCATGGAGTTCCCTGGCATCCAGGCACATACATAGAAAAAAACCAGTCACTTAAAAATTGTGAGAGAGACCCTGAGGCTCCCTGTGCTACAGAGTTTTAGAGAAATAAAATACTCCCATCTGAGGGTCTCAAACTTTGCAGCCTCTGGTGTGGAGTTACTCTGAGGGCCATCCTAGTTGAATATGTGCTGATCCTGATAAAGAAAAAAATTAAGTACTTCTTAACAACTTTGGAAACTTCCATTCCTTGCAGTGGCTTTAGAATGTCATGTAAGGCCCACTTGTATTTATAATGAGGCTATGAAAGTTAGAAAACAAATAAGGTTATGTAAAAGATATTATGAAATAAATGATAGGTAAAACTGTCGGAATAAGCATGGTTCTATGTAAACTTGGTAGCTATCTTCAAGGGTATATAAAAGCTCAGAGGCTTTTAAATAGTGCTTCTAATTTAATCAAGCAATTAATGTTCAATTTAGAAAGCACAATCTTTCTAATGTGTGGAATTACACCAAGATATAGATAGAAATTAAACAGTTTTAATTTTTTTTTCCAACGTTTTTTTTTTTTTTATTTATTTTTGGGACAGAGAGAGACAGAGCATGAACGGGGGAGGGGCAGAGAGAGAGGGAGACACAGAATCGGAAACAGGCTCCAGGCTCTGAGCCATCAGCCCAGAGCCCGACGCGGGGCTCGAACTCACGGACCGCGAGATCGTGACCTGGCTGAAGTCGGACGCTTAACCGACTGCGCCACCCAGGCGCCCCAAAATTAAACAGTTTTAAAAGAAAAGGAGGGGAAAGGAAAAGAAATTGAACGTAGAAAAAGCTGGTGTGAAATAAAGATTGTCTATTTCAGTTCCTGAATGATATTGGCAGACCAAACACTGATTCTCATTAGTGTCAGGCTTTCTTTGTGATGCTAACACTGAACAGGAATAGAAAAAGTGATTATTAATATTTGTCTTTTATTTTTGACTGGGGTGTGTATTCTTTATTCAGGAAAACACAGACTTCACAATGTCACAAACTCTGAAACCTTTTTGTTTGCTTTTGATTTAAATTAGAACTTAAGTTACCTATCAAAGCACATGGAATCCATTATAGAAAGAACAGAAAATGTATTTTGGTTGAAAGTAATTAGGGAAGGTCTCAAATTATCACAAAAAGAAATAGTAGAAAGTGACTGGGCAGGAGAATAAATGTCTGTGGGGAATTGAACTTTACATATGGCGGCTGATCCACACAAATTCAATGTATGATCTATAGGTCTGTATGATCAGGAACAGTAAATGCAACACAAAGTTTTCTAGCCAGAGAACTATGTTACCATGGCTGGCGCTGGGAGCAGAATACTTGGCGCTGGACTTGCGGATGATATTCTCGTGGATCTGGGACCACTCACTCTCATTGTTGCACCTGCAACAGAAGGACAGGTGTTATGGCTCTCAAGGCTTTTAAACATCTGGTCTGATGTTCCAACTGAAACACCAACTTTGAAGGCAAACTTCAAACTCACTTTCCTGTTTTACTAAATTAGACAAGGCATGTTTTCTGTTAAGGCTCATGGAAGATTCACACTTGGATAAAGGGTGGAAACTCTAAAATGAATGTCAACAAATATTTTTAATTGCCAAATATCCTATTCTCTAAAGTAGCAATCTCCTACATCACAAGCTTTTCTCTTCTTTTTTTTTTTTGAGAGAGAGGGAGAGAGAGAGAATGAATATGAATGAGTGGGAGATGGAAGAGAGAGAAGGATACAGAGGATTTGAAGCAGGCTCCAGGCTCTGAGCTGTTAGCACAGAGCCTGACGCAGGGCTTGAATGCACGAACTGTGAGATCACGACCTGAGCTGAAGTCGGACGCTTAACTGACTGTGCAACCCAGGTGCCCCTAAGTTTTCTCTTCTAGTCTCTTACACCACACACACACACACACACACACACACACACACACACACACACACACAGTAGGTTCCAGAGGCAAGTTCCTGAGAGGGTAAGTAATAGTTCCTCTAGACAATTACCACTGCCATGCCTTGCACTGACTTTGTATCATCATTCAATAGTCTTTATACTGGCTCCAGAGGAAAATCCTATTAAGCTCAGAGCAGTGTGGATATTTGCTTGTTGCTGTTTCAGCCAGGCCAAGAGAGGAAGAAAAGTTTAGGAGAATAGTGAGTTTGGTCCACTGTGAAATCCTCTATAATCAAGAGGAAGGAAGGCTTAGCAGAAAAGGTTGAAATGTCCAAACATATAAAGTCCTTTCCTAGGGGTTTCAAGATTGGGACAAAAGAGAGAATAGAGGAACAACACTGCACCTCTGTTAATTTCTCTAAAGGGCAATTCCAAGACAGCTACAACTACACAAGTACTTGGTGTAGTTTACAGACAGACACCAGGGATTCCTCATCCTAATGCAGACACCTCAATGAAACAACTGAAATCAGATTATGGTCATCTCTTGAAAATTCCATGCGACAACAGGAGTCTCTATAGCCTTGGCACCCCCTTTCCCTGTTGCATAGGAAGGTATGACCTTCCAAAATGTAAGACCCATGCACAAAGGAAAACTTACAGGATTTTTCCATGCTTACTCAGAAGTGTGCAGTCCAGCATGGGCACTTAAATAGGAAACCCCAGTGAGAGTTTTAGCATGTGAAATCATATGGTATTTGACTTTCAGTTTGACTTATTTTACCTAACACAATGCCCTCTAGGTCCATCCATGTTGTCACAAATGGCAAGATCTCATTTTTTTTTAAGCTGCACAATATTCCATTTGTGTGTGTGTGTGTGTGTGTGTGTGTGTATACCATATCTTATTTATTCATCTATTGATGGACACACCTGGGTTGCTTCCACATTTTGGCTATTGTAAATGATACTGCAATAAACACAGGGGTGTGTATATCTTTTTGAATTAGTGCTTTTGTTTTCTTTGGGTAAATAGTAGTGTAATTGTTGGATTTGGTATGGTATTTCTGTTTTTTTTTTTTTTGTGGTGAGCATAGCATAATGTATAGAGAAAATGAATAATTACGCTGTATACCTGAAATTAATGTAACGTTGTGTGTCAGCTACACTCAAAGAATAAAAAAGATATATGGAAACCAATTTGACAATAAATTTCATATATAAAAAAAATAAACCACTTTATTGAGGTTTAATTAATATCAATTTGATGAGTTTGGACATTTGCATATATCCATAAAACTAGCACCACAATCAAGTAATAAACGTATCTGTTACCTTAAAAAAATATATATCAAAGAGTAAGGAACCAAAAAAATAGTGTAAAGACTTAACAACAGAAAAAATCATCCAGGAGCGTGAAGTACACGCAATGTGAAACACAACTAAGTAAAAGGGTTTGTATAGAAGTCATTCAGAGATAAAGGAAATTAGTCATTAGTTTAATTTTATTACTCTTTGGACTCCTGAGTCAGTATAAATAAGCCTCAGTTACTCAGAGATGTTGCAAAGAATTATCAAAGATGAGTTTCTCATAGTCCAGAGCTGTGAGGATAATTTTCTACTTATAGAATTCCTTCCAAACAAAGGAAGAGGGAGACCGTTCTTTAAGATGAGCACTTGTGATTTAGCAACTCAGTTGGAAATCAAAAGTGAGAGGTGCTGGCAGCAGTACATCCAGCCCTTCCTGTCTGACATGCTCACTGTCTCATCTCTTCCAACCAGTCAGTACATCAGAGTGCCCAGCTGGTGAGGATTCAGACTTGTCTTGCTGTCAGCTTTTTTTTTTTTTTTTTGTCACTTTCTAGGTTTACAAGATCAGTAGTTACTTTCTTTAACAGAAATCTGACTACAGTTTGTCATAAATAACATACTCCCCCTCTCACTGCAAAAGAAGAGTCTTGAAAATTAACTCCCTCCCTCTAATAGATGGTGTAACTTCAGCATTTCTCCAATAAAATATTAATGGTTTTTGGCAGTACAGTGGAGATACTGCTTTGTCAACCACTTTCACATTGACAATGTGTATTACCTCATTGATCTCTCTTCTTCATGGTCTTGGTTTAACCATTATCATCTCTCTTCTGGACCAGTGTAATCACTTCCTAACTGATCTTTCAAATGTCTCCCTTTCCTAAATGCCAAGGGGTTACTTAAATCATCTAAAACTAAGTGGATGTGGTGTCATCAGCATATTTTAACCAATCACTAGGGTATTTTGTAAGGAAAAATTATAAATATAAACATTTATTAAGTAATCAAATGAGTTGTGATTATAGAAGCATCATGTTATACCCAATCAAATTAATATTTAGAGCATGATTATTGATGTTGGTAGTTTGTCCTCAATTATGAGACATGAGGGATTATGATTGAAAAGAGGTCTGTAATGCCTCTGTAGCAGTCTGCTCTCCTCACAGAGGAGATAACCAGCATAGTACTTCAACTACTACATGTCCAGGGATTTTACTCAAGGGATAGGACAGAGAGGCGAGAGGTTTTTGGTTTTCTACATGTGATTCCCAAGTATCCAGAGCACCAGAAGCACCGGAGCAGGTGTGCAGGCTCTGTTCAACAGAGTTCAGAATACTCTTCTCATTCACTCATGCACCAGAGCACACAGTAGCATTTGCCTCTTCCTCACCACCTCCTTAACTTTTTTTTTTTTAAAGTTAACATCCAAATTAGTTAGCATATAGTGCAACAATGATTTCAGGAGTAGATTCCTTAGTGCCCCTTACCCATTTAGCCCATCCCTCTACAATGGGGAGCCCCTTGTAGCCTTCCCACAACCCCTCCAGTAACCCTCAGTTTGTTCTCCATATTTGAGAGTCTCTTCTGTTTTGTCCCCCTCCCTGTTTTTATATTATTTTTGTTTCCCTTCCCTTATGTTCATCTGTTTTGTCTCTTAAAGTCCTCATATGAGTGAAGTCATATGATTTTTGTCTTTCTCTAATTTCAATTAGCATAATACCCTCCAGTTCCATCCATGTAGTTGCAAATGAAAAGATTTCATTCTTTTTGATTGGCGAGTAATACTCCATTGTATGTATATACCACATCTTCTTTATCCATTCATCCATCGATGGACATTTGGGCTCTTTCCATACTTTGGCTATTGTTGATAGTGCTGCTATAAACATGGGGGTGCATGTATCCCTTCAAAACAGCACACCTGTATCCCGTGGATAAATGCCTAGTAGTGCAATTGCTGGGTCATAGGGTAGTTCTATTTTTAGTTTTTTGAGGAACCTCCATACCGTTTTCCAGAGTGTCTACACCAGCTTGAATTCCCACCACCTCTTTAACTTCTAAATTTCCATGTTTATGATGGCTATTCACCCAACTTTCTTCTCATCTTTCCCCAAGGGGAGCAACACAAAAAAATGTTTAAGAAATTTTAGAGGGCTATTTGTAAGACCTTTAAGTTTGCATTTTTAGAAGGGGGTCTACTATAGGGAAGTAGTGGTTAGAGTATATTCCCATATTTTATTTCACTTAATTCTCATAATCCTATAAGATTGGTATTACCATGTTCATTTTACTGAGAAGAGTGAAATGAGCTGGAGTCTAAACATAGGTCTGCCTGGTCCCCAAAGCTGGTGTAGAGAAAAAGAGGCTACAGAGTACTGTAACCCTGAAAGCCTTACTCCTACACCAGGCTTCAGGGTACTTGTGTCCCTGATGTCAGTCAGCATTCCCATTTTGTCTCTACTACAACTATTTAGTCTTGCCTATGGTTTAAAACTTAATTTAGTGCAAATACTCCATATTAAAATTCTCTCCCATTGGGTGCGACCTGCTTTATTTTGGCCTTTATTTGGTTGAAAATCCTAAAAAGCTGGAAAAGAGGCAACAACCTACAGATTTAAGAACACTACTGATGCTGACCACTGTTTTATATAGTCCTTACTTATAGTGCAAAAAAAGAGAGAAGTATCCAGAAGAACGAAGAAAAACAGCACATATTTCTATAAAAATGGCCCAATTGAACAGAATCTCCAAGACCAAGCTGATACAAATAAACCAATCTGATATATTCTGGATGTGCACTCATAGGCCATGAGAAATTACATTTTTACTTATGAGAAATTTAAACTATTTCTTATTTTACAACTTATACATGTTTATTTTAGCACAGACTTAAAAAAAAGACAAATAGCATGCTCTCTCTCTCTCTTTAATAGGAATACTTAATTTAACTTCTCTTTCCAGGTGATAGAAGGGCTTCTTCCAAGAGTAACATTTTTTGGCCCCTTGTAGTCACTTTCCTGGGAGAAGGAGTGACTTCTTTGGCCAGTGCTTTTAGGAGAAGGACCTGGGCATGAACATCTCAGTTCTGCCTCTCCCCTCTTTTGGGACCAACCTGTTTGCAGAAAACACACAATCCCTCTGTGCCACCACAGAGGCTCCACATTGATGATGACTCTAATAGTCTTTCTA